TATAGGCCCCATGAACAGCAGGCCCGTCCACGGGATGGAATCCCGGGCACCGCCTCTAGCTGGCCACTGCCCCTCATGTCCATTCCTCATGTTTCCCACAGAAGCCGTAGGCGTGTCAGTGGGATGGAATCCCAGGCACCGCCTCCAGCTGGCCACTGCCCCTCATGTCCATTCCTCATGTTTCCCACAGACGCCATAGGTGTGTCAGTGGGATGGAATCCCAGGCACCGCCTCCAGCTGGCCACTGCCCCTCATGCCCATTCCTCATGTTTCCCACAGAAGCCGTAGGCGTGTCAGTGGGATGGAATCCCAGGCACCGCCTCCAGCTGGCCACTGCCCCTCATGCCCATTCCTCATGTTTCCCACAGAAGCCGTAGGCGTGTCCGTGCCCTCAACCACATCAACCTCAGACAGGACCAATAAGCCAGCCAATCAGAAAGCAGCGCCACCGGGATGCCGAGCAGGCTGTGGACCCCACAACAACGGAGGGGACTTTCCCTAGGTAGGCACCTGCGCACAATAGCAAAAGCTGTCCTTTAGGTGAGTTTATGACGTAGAGAGGCTTATTATAATATCATTAACGTACATACTACATTCCCCCCATGGGTTTTTCTGTGTCCATTGTGGGTAATTGCATGCACAGTTCCATGAAGCCTGGGACCCCTCCCCTATTATTCAATCCCTTTTTAATATTCATGATTTCTGTTATGCAATGGCATCTTTACCCTATAAAAATCCGTCTTGCTTTCACTAAAGTTGCCGGCTCCTCTTGGAACTTAGCCTGCTTCATCAGACCCGTCGGCCTGGATAAATGCCTCTATGCGGATTAGAGGTAGTCTGACTCTGAATTCTTCGAGACAGGGCCTCCACCACCCATCGTGAAATCCCCACAAGGGGGCAGGCCGGTCTCTGGAATGCCCTCCCCCTTAGCTAGGAGTTCCTTGGGACTTAGAACCACTAGCTGCACTGACAAGGACCATGGCCTATCTGCCTCCGGTAACTGAAGGGACCCACTCTACTCAATGAGTGCACCTTCTGGCCTGTAGAACCAGCCGCCGAACTCCCTTCTTCTCGTGCAACGTATAAACTAGCTAGCTGAATTGATAAGGACACAACTTGCTTGCAAGATCTGGTGGGGTGTGTGCACTCTAGAGTGAAGAAAACCTGCCTCTGATTCCTGCTGGCTCATGGGCGTCAGCTAGCAAAGAGATGAAAAAATTCATGCAACAGGAACCAGATCCACCTTCCAGGAAGGAAGCAACTACTAGATTCCCAAGAAAAAGGGAGATCGAGGCTGGCCCAAAGGCAGGACACAGGAGTGATGAAGAAGCTTTACTTTACAGACATTGGCTGGAGTGTGCATATTCTCGCTCGCTCTCTCTCTCTCTCTCTCTCTTTGTCTCCTTCTCTCTAAAGCCAATAATGTCTTAACTAGTCTTCAAGATAATTTCACCTTTCAAAACATACAAGAACCAAAAACGGGACATTCTATGCTGGACCTGTTGGTCACTACCAGGAAGGAACTGGCTGCTGGCCCAGAAACGATGGGACCCTCGTGGGAAGTAACGAACACCTCCTAGAATGAGACAGAGGAGGAGAAATCTGGGGATGGGCTGATGTGAACTCTAGATCGGGAGCTGGCAGGTTTCAAAGGACTCACTCAAAGAGAGGACAGATATGACCCCCAGGTCCTCAAATCCTACAGGGGAAGTCAGCCCAAGACATCCAAGTAGTTAATCCTGAAGACTCAAGGGAAAATAATCTCAATAAGAAGAAAAAACTGTTGTCTTAATAGCAATGGAAAGAGGACTCACCAACCAACTCAAGCCAAAAACACAATGGACAGAAAATGGAGCCAGAGGATACAAGGAGTGTGGAAGCGTCTAGTAAAGTCAGGGTCAGAAATGCCAGAGCTCTCTGTGGTTTAAGGATGAAGAGGCAATCTGGGGACAACAAAAAAGGGCGAACTTGTTTCACATTTTTTAAAAACTCTATTGGGAGAACAGAGCCCACGGAACTCAGGCTCCATATTGGAAATGTCAATCCTACGGAGGAAGGGGCGGGTCCTTGTTGGGTTGGTCCTCAGAGAGCAAAACCAGGAATGACGTGTGAAAGTAACAGAGAAGGCTAACTGGAGCTTCATTTCTGGGGGAAAAAAACTAAACCAAACTGACCCCCAACAGCCCCTAACAGTGAGAGCTGTCCCAAGGTGGACCGAGCTACTTCACGAGGGGCAGGCAGCTCTCCCGTCTTTGGAGGTCTTCACGAGAGGCTGCATGACCACTTCTTGGTCCTGGTGGGGACCTGTGACACTGAGGTCCCTTCCAACTGTGAGCCCCAGGAGGCCTCAAGAGACAGATCAAGTGTGAGGACAAGAGAAAGACGGCTCCCGCCAGGAAGTGCGCACCACAGATTGATCACTTACTACCAGCCAAGCTTGGCTCTGGATTCACAGGCAAAAGGTCCCAGTGGGGAAAACTACAGGTACGGAAATAATGACCTGCAAGAATAGCTAGCATTTCTATGGCCCTCTGAGGTGCCCAGAGCATGGCGATAGATGACCCTGCCCAGACCCTGGTACAGGCCCTCGTCACCTCGCCCCTGGACTACTGGAGCAGCCAGCTAGGCTGGCCACCTCAAGTCCCTCCCCGCTCCTGTCCATCCTCTGTCAGCTCTTAAAGTCTAACTCTGAGTACGTCACCCCCAGGAGTGGGGCCCTCCTGCCTCCAGCATTAAATACAAAAGGCTGTTTGGCATCAAAGCCCTTCAGAACCCAGCCCCCTGCTACCTTCCAGTCTCTCCCACCTTACTCCCCAACACCTATTCTTCAATCCAGTAACACCGGCCTCCTGGGTGTTCCAAGAACTAGACCCTCCATCTCTCACCTCCCAGTGTGTTCTCTGGCCAGTCCCCACACCTGGCTCTCCCTCTCCCACTCAGATTACTGACCTCCCTGGCTTCCTTTAAGTCCCAACTAAAATCCCACTTTTTACTGGAAGTCTTCCCCACTCCTTCTTAATTCTGCTGCCTTCCCACTGTTAATGACTTCCTAAGTACACTGTACATAGCTTGCTTTGTATATATCTGGTTGCCTGTTATCTCCCCCATTAGACTGTAAGCTCCTTGATGGCAGGGACTGTCTTTTGCCTCTTTTTGTGTCCCCGGCCATTAACACAGTGCCTGGCATATACTAGGCATTTAATAAGTGTCTTTGACTGGTGATTTAGGCTCATAACCACCTTGAGAAGTGGTGCAATTATCATCTCCATTTTTGCACATAAGGAAACTGAGGCAGAGGTTAAGTGACTCGTCCAGGGTCACCTCCCTGGTAAGTGTCTGGGGCAGCATCTGAACTCAGTTCTTCCTCACTCCAGACCCAGCTCTCTAGCCATTGGCCCCCTGCTGCCTACAAAGACCCATCTGAGTAGACAGATGTTAATCTCACAGGGGAAGGCACCAGCTGCTTGGGGATCAGAAAAGCTTCCTGGAAAAGGAATTATTTCAGCTGAGTCTTCAAGGAAGCCCAAGATTCTTTATTTGTTTAATTTACTGTAAATGTAATGACCACCCCAAACAGGGGAAGTATTCCCACAGACAAAGCAGAAGGGAAAAAGGATGCTCAGGGTGAAATCATGAATCACTGTCAGCTTCAGCTTCTTTTTAATAGTAAATAACACATCCTCATGTTCCCTTCAAAGATATGGCTTGTCCATGTGTCTTCCCCAAAGTTCTTCTCTTTCCTCCTGGGAATGTTAACAAATGCTGTAATGACCCTTTTTTCTTTTTTGGGGGAGGGGCAGGGTGGAGATCAGGGAAATGAGTGTGGAGAAGACGACCCCTAGTTAAAGGAAGCTGGTGAATCTGTGGACAGAATGCTGGGCCTGGAGTCGGGAAGATCTGAATTCAAATTCAGACTCAGACAATTACCTACACTGTACTTGCCTGGCTCCATCCTGGGCTGCCTTGGAACACAGCAGACACCACGAAACCAGCCCCAAACCCCTTTCAGTCTTCTTACGCCATACTCCCTGCCTCCTCCTCTCTGACCCAGGGACACCGGCCTCCTGGCTGATCCTTGACCAGACACTCCATCCCTGACCCTGTGCCTTCCCAATGGCTGTTTCTCATGCTTGGAATGCCCTCCCCCTCACCTGGGCCTCCTGGCTTCCTTCACGTCTCAGCTAAAATCTCACCTTCTGAAAACAAGCTTTTCCTGGACCCTGACACTGCCAGAGCCTTCCCTCTCAGGGTGCCTCCCATCCACACTGTACAGAGCTTGTGTGGACACAGCTGCAGACACGTCTCCCCCATCAGACTGGGGGCTCCCTGAGGGCAGGGACTGGTTTTCCTTCCTCTGTATCCCCAGTAGGTTAGCACAGGGTCTCTACCCTTTCTAAATGCTTGTGGACGTCACCCAAGAGCTGGTAAATGAGTGTGATTCAGAGAGATCTGGGAAGACATGTGTGAGCTGAGGTAGGAGGACATGAGCAGAACCAGCAGGACCATTTCTGCTCTGCCGACAGCACTGCAGAGGACAAGAGCTGGGGGAGCCGTCAGGGCTCTGCTCCAGGCCTGCCCAGACAAGCCTCCCGGGAAAAGGGCCCTGGAGCTTCTATTCCTAGAAGAGAGAGCTTAGCCACAAGAAACAGAGGTTGGGGGAGTTAAATGGTGGCGGGGGGTGGTAGGCATGGAAGAAGACAGCAAAGACATGATGCCTACAGAACAGAAACTACCGAGTGAAGTGGTCATCCTTGTGAGTCAGGGATGAAGAAGGCGAACACGGAGGACAGCACCTGGGAGGGGGGAACGTGGAGGGAAGGGGTACTTAGTGCATGCGATGCCAAAGTGCCAATGAATCAGTTCAAAACACAGAAGGAGGGCACAGGGCAGTTTCCTGCCTATTTTTGTAAAGAAACGGTCCATAGGTAGGGATGGCCAGCTGCGTAGACAAGCCTCTGGGTCTGTGGAAATGGCCAAATTGGAGGGCAGAGTGCACTCACCTGGGCTGGGGGTCTGCGGCTCCCAGGGGCCATTCCCTCTGGCTCCAGGCTCGATGCTTGGCCCAGGCCTTGGTCCTCCACAGACTGAGCTGGAGAGGCTGAAGGACCCCAGAGGGGCAGAGCTCTTTCCTTTCTCTTCCCTGGCAGGAGGCTGGCCTACAGGTATTTACAGGGAGTGAGATCCCACAGGAGTCACAAAGACCCTGCCCTGCCCTGAGGGCAGAGACCCCAACCTGCAGAGGGAGAAAGCAGGCAGTCAGGCCTGGAAATGAAGATGGTCAGAACAGGAAGGCTACTCCCCTCCCCATCTTACTTATTCTCTCCTGCCCCCTCCTCCTACAGAGACCCAGGAGGCAGAAGGGGCTTTGAGATCCCAGGTGGGATGAGACCAGGCAGGGCCTCAAGGGCTCCTGAGTCAGAGCTCTCCCTACAACTGGCAGAGGCCTGAGGCTCTGAGAAACATGGGGGCGGGGCAGCTAAATGGCACAGTGGATAGAGATCTGGCCCTGGTGTCAGGAGGACCTGAGTTCAAATACAGTCTCAGACCAGACACCTGACACTTATTAGCTGTGTGACCCTGGGCAAGTCACTTCACCCCAATTGCCCTCACCAAAATAAATAAATAAATAAGAAAGAAAGAAAGAAAGAAAGAAAGAAAGAAAGAAAGAAAGAAAGAAAGAAAGAAAGAAAAATGTGGAGGCAGGGAAGGAGGCCAGGGTAAGGAAGGCTCTGGGAGGCAGGACACTGTACCAAAGCTGGGGGAGAGGAGAGGGGACATCTCAGTGACAGAAGGGTTCCAGGAGGCAGCTGAGTCTGGGAAAGAAGAATGACCGTGTCCTGGGTCTACCTAGGAGCTGGGGAGGGCTCCTGGGCCCTCTTTGGAGCTTAGGCTTGGAGGCTGCTTCTCTGGGTCCCTGGAGGGGAACTAGGGACAGGGAAGCAATGCCTGGGATCTGATGGGGAGCTGGCAGGAGAGCCACAGGTCCAGGTAAGGGAGGCCAGGCAGGAGCTTTGGTCCTGGGGGCAAGGAGGCAGGCTTCTGGGTCCTTACAAGGAGCCAGGGATGCTGGTAAGACAGCCGAATCTCTGAACAGGAGCTGGGGGCAGGGGAACAGGACACATGAATCCGATGGAGAGGAGGAAGGCAGTAATCTTGGGTCTCCATGAAGGAAGTCTGAAGGTCAGCAAGTGTGACTCCATGGTAAAGCTGGGGATGGCACCCCGGGACATTTGGGATGTGATGAGGAGCCTGGCCAAGGGAGAGGGCCGGGGAGCCGGCCAGGGAGCCAGCCTCAGGAGGGAGGAGGGCTCCTTAGCAGCCCTGGAGTTCACTCAACACGAGGTCAGACAGGGAGGATGAGCCTCAAAGGGAAGGGCAGCCAGCAGAAGTTAAGGGCCACATGGCTTCCTGGCTTAGACCTACCTGGGACCCGCATGCATGGCTTATGGAAGGCAGAGGGATCTCAGCTCCAAAGCAAAAAGGTAGAGTGATCCCAGCTCCAAGGGAAATCAGAATAAACACAGCTCCAAGAGAAGGCAGCTTGACCTCAGCTCCCAAGGCGCCTTCTCCCAGCCAGCCCACTCTGGGTGTCTCTTCCTAGTCCAAGAGCCCCGCCCTCCCCAGCCCCGCTGAAACCCCAGGATCTTCCCTTTCCTCCAATGGCTCCTAGGGTCAGGTCCTCAGACCCTGCCTCCCTCCCCTCCCCAAGCCCTGCCCTCCATCACATGGAATGCCTTGGCCACTGGGATAACTCTCTTCCACTCTAGACTCCTCCCAGGCCTCCAAACTCCACCCCAAGGCTCAAATTCCACATGGGCCTCCACCCACTGAACTGTGAAAGTCTTCTTCCCACAACCTCCCTCCCTCCCCCTGCTCTGGGACTCAGACCCTTCTCCCTCTGAGCGGAATCTCCTGGCCTTCTTCCAGCTGTCCCCTTGCTACACTTGTCTTCTTCCAAACTAGGACACCCAGACCCTCCCTCCCTCCCTCCTGCTTCTCCCAACCATTCTCCTCCCCCTACTCCGCCCTCAGCAGGCAGGTGTCCCCGTCCTCCCTGCAGCCTGGACCCCAGACTTGCCCACCCCAATTTAACCCTCTCCTCCAGCCTGGAAACATTTGCACAGACACGGGGAGCTTTCCCTCTATCTTGTTATTCTTCCCTAAGGGAAATTCTCTCACTGGAGCACCTATGGACCCTCTGGGAGGGCTGAGGCCAGGGAGTCAGGACACCCGGGTCCCAGAGCAGGGATTACAGGTGCTTGTAAAATGAGCCCTTCTGCCTCTTCATATTAGCAGACAGATTCCAAAGCAGGGAGGAAAACAAGACTTAAAAGTTTATTCACAACTTATTAAATCAATTTTATATCAAAAAGCCTTAATCCAATTTTGAGATTTTATAGTTATTAAAACACAATCAAAGCCTGTATGTCCTAGGTAAAATAAAATAAAATAAATTCACAAAAACTTCACTCAGCTCTGTATATTCATTGGACCTTTAGGAAGTCCAATGCTTCAGTCCATTTTGTAGTCTTGTGCTTTTATTACCTTCAGGATCAAAAAACCCCATTAAACTATACATCATCTCACTTGACAGTTTGTCACTATTCTCAGTAGAACCATTTGGAAGCCAATCTCATATATCCCAATTCTCTTTTTTTTAATCTTTTAATTTATGGAATAAAACGAGCAGTTCCATAACATAGAACAATAAAAAGATGATTGCACAAGAAACTGCAAATCTGCTATGCACAACTAGCTATTCCATTCAAATATACAAGAAAAATATCATGTAAATTTTTCTTTCTCCTTCTTCTTCCCTCCCCCCCAACTTAGTTACCATTAGACACAAATAGGTGTGTGTGTATACATACCCACATAAATGTAAAATTATTCTATGCACACTCCTATTTCTCAGTTCTTTCTCTGGATGCAAATAGTGTCCTTCTTCATGTGTCCTTTATGGTTAATTTGGGTATTTGTAATAGACAAAATAACTCATTCATACAAAGTCATTTTTAAAACAATATTGCTATTACTGTATGCAGCATTCTCTTGGTTCTGCTCATTTTGCTCTTCATTATTTCGTGCAAGTCTTCCATGTTTTTCTCAGATCATTGAGATCATCATTTCTTATATCACAGTAGCATTGCATCATAATCACATGCTACATGTTGGACCATTCTCCAACCGGTGAGCATACCCCACAATTTCCAGGTCCTTGCTACCATAATTCTGTAGCTATCAGCAACTTCTTCCTTCCAAGCTACCAACAATTATATGGGAAGAAAAAGTGCTCTATAGCTGTAATCACTAATCCAAGTCACTGATAATTAGAAAGATTCTCAGATTTCAAAGATGACCAGAAAATGAAAATGACAAATGCTGACAGACCTGAGGAGTGTGAGATACACTGACACTGTTAGTGGAGCAGTGAACCGGCCCAGCCATTTCTGTAAAACAATTTGGAGCTATGCACAAAAGAGTTTAGTTAAAAAATAAATAAATAAACTCCAAGGAAAAAATGTTCCAAGTCACTGGTAATTAGAAAAATGTAAATTAAACAACTCTGAGGTCCCACCTAAAATGTATGCCATTGGCAAAGACGACAAGAAAAACAACATGTGTTGGAGGCTCTTTGGGAAAATAGGCACATTAATTCACCGTTTGGTGAAAATGTGAAACCCAACGTCACTACGTTGTGTGTGTACCCACTTTGACTCAGTGATAGAAATAATGGGCCCATTCCCTTAAAGAAGTCAAAAGAAAGAGAGAAATGACTCAACTGGATGAAAATATGAATAACAGCTTCTTTTGGTTTGGCAAAGTATTGGAAACTAAGGCATGACGTCCTTCCATAGGCAAGTGACTGAATTCATTTTGACAGATGAATGGAATGGAATGCTAATAGAACAGAAACAACGGGCAATTTCAGTGAAACCTGAGAAGAAATCCAGGAATGCATGCAGTGAAGTTAATAGAATCAATGTAATAATTGACAACGACATTGTAAAGACCAACAACTTTGTTGTTGTTATTTTTTTGTTTTTAGGCAATTGGGATTAAGGGACTTGTCCAGGGTCACACAGCTAGTAACTGTCAAGTGTTTGGTCTGAGGCTGGATTTGAACTCAGGTCCTCCTGACTTCAGGGCTAGTGTTCTATCCACTGCACCACCTAGCTGCCCCTGAAAAAATCTTTTTTTTTTTGGCTGGGCAATGGGGTGAAGTGACTTGCCCAGGTCACACAGCTAGTAAGTGTTATGTGTCTGAGGCTGGATTTTGAACTCAGGTCCTCCTGAATCCAGGGCCAGTGCTTTATCTACAGTGCCACCTAGCTGCCCCTGACCAACAACTTTGAAAGAAATCACACCTCATGATTTTAATGAACAATCATTATTCCAGAGGACTTACAAAGATCTTTGCTACCTGCCTTCCTACCAAGAGGTGATGGATTCAAGATGTAAAATAAAAAGTACTTTTGGGGATATCACAATGTGTGTAGTGTGTGTGTGTGTGTGTGTGTGTGTGTGTGTGTGTGTGTGTGTGTGTGTGTTTTGCTTGACTGTTTCCACGATGATTTGCTTTGTTTTGCTTTGAGTTTTGTTTTCTTCCAGTTATTTGGGAGGATTGCAGTATGAGGGCGCCTAGGAATAGGATTGTTCTTCCTCTTCCCCTCCCCCTCCCCAGAAGAAAAGAAAGGAAAAGAAGGGAAATGACAGATTTATTAAAATATATGAAACAGAAGAGGAGGAAGGCCAGAGGAATCAGGGCAGCTTTAGAAGTGCTATACTGCATTTTTTTAAATTGCCTATGAAGGAAATCAAGCTATACATAGTGAATTGTTGCACAGGCACTCCCTCTTGTTGCAGTGTGTATATAATATGCTCTAATTTTGTGTTTATGGATTTCAACGTTTAAAAGAATTAAATACTGCTGGTATCCTCTTTGTCATTTTCACCAATTTTCAAGGCTAGACAAGAAATGGCAAAATGTTTTGATACCACTCTCTCTTGGAACGTGTTTTTAGGTGTTCATATTAAGGGACTCCATCAGGGGTCCTATGCAGTCCACACTAGTCCTGGAGCCCCTCAGCACTCCCGAGTCCTTCATCTCTTTGGGGGACGGGCTGTCTATGTATGTCACCATTGGTCCTATCATTCCTATCACTGGCTGTAGGAGTTGTCTTGGTTCTGCTCACTTCACTTTGCATCAGTTCACAGGAATCTTCCCAGGATTCTCGGACATGCTCCCCTCCACCCCACCCCAACATCACAATCTCGCCCATCCCTCCTTCCGCCATTTCCCCACCACATGGCTCCTCTTCCTAGAAGCTGGGGGGGGGATGGGCCACCGCGGGGCTAAGGCCGGGTTAAAGGTCACGGGCAGCCCAGGTGTTTCTGTTTCTTGACCCGTTTTGGGAAGGGGGCCGCCCCCGAGGAGTGGGTACGGAGCCAGGGCTGGGACGGGGGCTCCCCGGAATTGCTCCTCTCGGGGCCCCTGAATCATTCGGAAGGAGACGACCCCACACACACAATCAACCCCCTGAGGGCCCGTGGTGGGAGGAGGGCGGACCGGGCTGGGGTCCAGAGGGGAGGAGGACGTCGTGGCGGATTAACTGAGGTGTCCGGCGCCGCACAGTGCAGGGGAGACGCTCAGTGGGATGAGGACCCGGAAGGGAAGGGGGGGCGGGGCACCTCCCACCTCAGGCAGCCCCGCCCCTTCTCCCGCAGCCTTCGCTCCTGGGCATGCGCGGCCCTGGGGACTACATTTCCCAGAAGGCCGCGCGCTGGATCCGTTTCCGCTTCCGCTACGTTCCTCCTATTGGGCCGCTCTTCCACCAGTTCCGTTAAGTCCGCTCCGGGTCTGTTGGGGGTGCGCGGTCGGCCTGGAGTCTAGAGATCCCCAAGCACCCCCGGAATCCTGGCGTTCCGAGACTCCCGCTCTCCACCGGATCGTGGAGCCCTGACTCCCCCCAACTCCCCGGACCGGGAGCCCTGAGGGCCCCCCCGCCCCGCCTGGCAGGTGTCCCGAGCCCCTCCCCCTCCCTTGGGCCGGGGAGCCCGGTGGTCCCACCCCTCCGGACGTTACCGCCTCCACTAAGTCCTTCCTATCCTGCTCTCACCCCTCCCCCGCTGGAACCCAGGAGCCCGCGCCCCCCGCCCCAATCCCCACCAAGTCTCCAGAGCCCCCGCTCCCTTTCCCCCACCCACAGCAGACGTCCTGCCCCTCCCCTCCCGACCAAGGCAGCCTTGGCCCCCCCCCCCCCCCGCGTGCCTCCCCTACCCCCAGCCCGGCCCTGGCTCAGTCCCCCAAACCTGGTTCTGTGCCCCCGATTCTCTCTTCCGTTCCCTCCAACACCTGCCAGGAGGCCTGGACGTTCCCCTCTGGAGCCGGTCCCAGCTGCCTCTTCCCGGGGACGGGGGCGGTTCCCAAGGAAGCCGAGTGCCCCCCTGCCTGCTCTGATTGTGAGGGCTAGGACCCCTGGCTGCTCACGTGTTCGTGCTGTAGTCAGCAAAAGGGCATGAAGTGCCTACTGTGTGCAGCACAACAGGGTAGGAAGTGCCTACTGTGTGAAGGTGCCAGGCTAAGCTAGAGCAATGCTGAAAAGGACAAAAGACTGCCTGGCCTCACTCAGGAGCTCCCATTCTAACAGGGAACACTTCATGGAAATGTGTGTGTGTGTGTGTGTGTGTGTGTGTGTCTGTCTGTCTGTCTATAGAGAGAGGATGGAAGGTTATTTCAGGGGGGACGGCATGGATGCCTGGGGTGACAGGGAGAGACCTCCAGGAGGGGGGACCTGAGCTGTGTCCTACAGGGAGCAAGGGTGGCAGGGAGGGGGCTGCATTCTTGCTGCTGCTCCCCCAGGTCACTAACGGCTCTTCCTTCTTTCCCCCTCTGCAGCCTGTGACTGTCCATCCTCCTCCTCTCGCACTTCTACTGTCTGACCCGTCCTCCACGTCCTCTGCCTGGTCTTTAGGTCACACCCACTAAGTCTGTGACCAGGGGTGTCCCACCCCGCTCTGCTCTGGATCGTCTTCTCCCTCTTCCACTTCACCTGGGGATCTCATCAGCTCCCACCGATCAGTGATCATCTCTCTGCTGAGCATTCCCAGATCACCCCATCGGGTTCTTCCCTCTCTGCTGACCTCCAGTCTCACATCCCTTAGGTGCCTCTTGGACGTCTCCAACGTAGCCATCTTAAACTCAACACGTCCAAGACTGACCTCACTATCTTTCCCCTCAACGCTCCCTCTTCTAAACTTCCCTATTACCACCGCCGCCCCATTTGCCCAGGCTCACAGCCTAGGTGTCTGCTTGACTCCTACTCATTTATCTTTGGCTCTTCCCACCCCCAAAGTCCAGCCTCTTGTCCAGGCCTGGTGACTTCCCCTCAGCAGCATCTCTGCAATATCCCCCTTCTCTCCTCTGACTCAGCCCCCACCCCAGGGCAGACCCTCATCACCTCCCATCTGGACCATGGCAGTAGCTGCTGGGAGGTCTGCACGCCTCCAGTCCGTCCTCCATTTAGTTGTCAAAGTGATCTTCCTAAAACACAAATATGACTGTCACCCCCTACTCGGCAAACTGCAGTGCCCCCCCCCAATTGCCTCCAGGAGCAAATACACTATCTTCTATTGGGTATTCAAAGCCCATTGCTCTCATCCTTTCCAGTCCTGGTGCACTGTACACTGCCTCATAATATAGTTTTGGATCCAGTGACCCTGGGCTCCTGGCTGTTTC